CTTTCCCTTATATTTCCCTTTCTCATCTCACTAAGCAACCACCTTACAGCTGGAGACTGTCAGAGTCTCCAGTCACTGTCCAGCCCTAGCTTATTAGCTGAGCGCCAGAGTGACATTGCTAAGTCCTGAGAGTAGGCTCTCTAGAGCCACTAACTCAGCCTGTCCAAAATGGAACTCCTGTCAGAGGGAGGTGGCCAGATTGGCTGGGTCCCAAGATTTCTAGTAGACGATCAGGATATGGTCATGACATAGCCAAGCCAAGGACTGTATTTCATGTGAAATCCAAGAAAAACCATCTGTCCTTCCTGACTCCCTGCTTCTGTTACTGGACCCATGGTTCTCCCAGGTCCTTAGGCTTGAAGCCTTTGGGGATTCTTGCCTCTCCATTCAACCATTTTCCCAGTCCCCGTCCTCAAACTTTGTACTTATGTCCTGAAACAGGTCTAAACCAGCCTCCCAGCTCCTTTTCCTTCCACTCACAAGAAAGCCTGTACTCTTGACTACTCACAAACTAGACTTCCTGGTGTATGTTCACCCTGCCTCCTTGTTAACCTTGCACAGACAGCCTCAGGGTCTGTTCCCTGCCCCGCCCCCCCAAATACACTCCTCATCCCACCATACTGCCCTGCCCTACACCAGCCCACGCTTAACTGATAGGAGGAACCTGTTCTCTTTGCATTTTCTACTGCAGCCTTCAGAAGGGATGTGGCCTAAGGCATATAGTCCCCCATTGGATTAGGTGCCGTAACTGGAAAGATCATAAAAAGAGAGTTTTGATCACTTTATGAATATTACTTTTACATAGAGATCAGTAGAGCAGAGTGATGTGTTACTACTCATGGTAATCCGTTTCCTGCATCAGTTAAATCGTACGTGATAGGGGTCAAAGACCTTCCTGGAAGGGCTCACAAACCTCCGGTTTCAATTCCACTCTGCTGCTGTTTCTGGCCCCTAATAGGTGGTGAGCTGAGGGCAGGAACTGTCATGTTCACCTCTGCATCAAGTGCAGTAGCAGACAGTGGACATTCAGAAATTGTCTCCCGTTGGGAATTATACAGAGGCTGCTTTACTATGCCCTTGCTTGCTCAACTAGGCCATGAAGCAGCAGCTTAACATGTGTTTTCCCCATGCCCCCCACCCCACCCCCCGAGCTGGAGCTACCTGGAGGCCCATGTCAGGTACTGGACCTATTTGGGGTTGTTCAGCAAGCAGCCTTCTGTCTTACTTCAAGGGGACTTGGAGAACTTATAGGTGCTTTATTTTTATTTTATTTTCTGCTTTTGCTGGTCAGCTAAAAAGAGTTGCTCCTTTTTTAAGTCTCTAGCACAACCAAGTGGGCAGCTCCATTGAGGGCCTAGGCGTTTTTATGTATTATTTCATTTGCCCCCATAATAGAGTTAACTGTGCAACAGCAGGTGCCCTGATAGAGCTGGACCGTGTTGGTGGGAGTTGTCAGTCTTCCAAGCTTACAGTTTATGTTTGCTGCTTGTTCTCCCTTTTGCTCCAGATTCTGCCTGATCAATGCAGGCGTCCTGTACCTCTACTTCAGCAACTACCTACAGATAGATGAGGAAGAGTATGGCGGCACGTGGGAGCTCACAAAGGAGGGGTTTATGACATCGTTTGCCTTGTTCATGGTATGTGTAGCTGGTAATTTCACAGCAGGTTTTGTCATTTCCTGAGATGTCAGTTATTCAAGGGGAGCCCCTTGATTGAGTTACAGTGTGTGATTTGGGTACCATTTTTCAAGACTCCTGAGGCTGGAGGGCATGTCCTCTCTTGAGTTAATGTCCCAAAAGATGTGGTGTGATACACTGTATAGTCTCCCTGTGGTGAGCAAATCCAGAGCTCATTGTCAGTTTCTACATCTAATTCTCAACTCTGGCTGCATATTGAAAACTGGAAAACATTTAAAAATATATTCATAACAGCCAAAAAATGCAAACAGCCGTCACCCGATGAATGGCTAGATAAAATGTTATATACCCATACAGGAGAATATTACTTGGCCATAAAGAGGAATGAGGAACTGGTACATGCTACAAGGATGAACCTTGAAAACATTATGCTATAGGTGAACGAATCCAGACACAAAAGACCACATGCTGTATGATTCCATTTACGTGAAATGTCCAGAATAGGCAGATCCATATGGATAAAAAGTAGATTAATGGTTGCCAGTGGCAGGGGTGGGAGGGGAGACGGGAAGTAACTGATAATGGGAATAGATTTTGTCTTCAGGGTGACGCAAATGCTCCAAAATGTTTTCACAACTCTGAATATACTAAAAAACCTCTGAATTGTATACTTTAAAAGGGTAAACTTCATGAAATATGAATTATATCTCAAAGTTATCTTTAAAAAATTATAGAACCTAGCCCAAACAACGAAATCAGAATCTCTGGGAGGTGGCGCCCAGGCATCTCTCTGTATGTTTTTAAAGAGCCCACAAGATTGCAAAGGCGAGTCAGGTTTGAGAACCTCTGCTTTATTTGATATGAAGCTGACTGACAGGATATGATGTAGTTTTGTTTTCACGTTTGTTGCTAATGCTAACACTCACTAGCAGTACAGTTTGCTTTACCTGTATCATTTCCACACCTATAACTCTAAGCCCTCGCACTCTGGTCTCTGTTTGGCAAGGGGAGAGACTTGTCCAGGGTCCCTTTGGGAGCACAGGACGGTGGTCCTGGGCTCTATTAGAGACAGCTTGATTTCAGTGAAATTATGTAAGCCCCCAAGCAGCTTATGCAGTGGATAGCCCCCGGGAAGTACACTGTGCGCACATTCTTAGGATGCTTTTGTTTTGTGGAATGGGAGCCTATGTTGACCCTGTTGGTGAGGGAGCCCATGAACATTGCTTGTTTCCTCTCTAGGTCATTTGGATCATCTTTTACACTGCCATCCACTATGACTGACGGTGCACAGCCCCCACCTGCTCCCTCTCTGGTCCAAAGGACCCTCTTAGTTACACCACAGAAACACGATTGTTGGGGGGCACCCCAGCCACGCGGAACCTGGAAGACCCGTGTTTCCTGGACCGAGAATCAGTGTGTTGGGCGTCAGTGTTTTCTGCAAGGGTTGTGACCTGAAACTTTTTAAAGAACCATCCACCTTTTGGGGAAGCATTTCTGAATTGTCCATCACCAACCGTTTCTTCTTGGATACCATCATGAAACACCTGTTTGCCGATTGGAGCTGTCCTTTAATTTGGTGCACATCTGGATCCGGATGAATCACTAAATTGTCTGTCTTCCTTTTCCATCAGGTGTACGGTTTTTAAACTATATCAAACATTGGCATTTCAAGTCTTCTGAAAACAGTATGGCAGTATGTGCGTGGTCCATAGCACAGTACAAGCAGCATCTAATAACAGTTTTCGTTGTAGAATGTTTTCAGATAGATACTTGAATAAATCAGATCTTTAATTGAGCCCCTGTTGGTGATACCTGGTAAAGCCTTTCCCACCTCACCTCTAGCCTCAGAACCCAATAGGAGCAATAGAGGTGATGCCCTCCCATCCCCTTCCCTCTCTCTTCCTCCTTCCCTTTTCCTCCTCTCCCTGCTCCCTTAACAAACAGCTCTATCCAGGCTTCTTTCCCTTAATGTGCAGCAGGGACATCAAGGGCTGGAGTTGGTGTAGGCTGTGGCCTTGACTTTGTGGAGGGAGGGCTTACCACCTGATGCCCTGATGCCCCCGCTCAGCACTGAGAGACATGACTGAGCTCACTGCAGTGTGCTAGGCTCGGGTGGTGTCTTTTGCATTTGGCTACAAGACGGCAAGGCTGTTGTAGCCGAGAAAGCTTAGCCAGGTTCAAATGATGAGCCACAAGATGAAAGATCTGAGAGCTAGGACTCTCCAGAGAAGGGGCTTAATGGGGACGTGGAGGACCTGGACGGTCAGAGGTCCTGCTCTTTGCCGTGGCGGTCAGGTGGAAGCTGGAGAGCCCCGGTTCTGCTGCCGTCCAAGCCACCCATCCCCTCTTCTTCCTGTCCCTTCTAGGCCGTAGTTCTACCTTCTGAGGTGTGGTGGCATTCTGAATGAGACTGGTCAGTTTTCCTTAAATGATTATTTTTTTCTCCTTGATGCTAGTGGGTGTTCCCTGCCTTGTGGGAGCGGTTGTGGGGATGTAGAATGAGACTCGACAGGCAGAGGGAGGAAGGTGGTACTGGGACTCCCAAACTCGGGAACTGGCTGGGTCACACTGAGGACATCTAGTCTCTCTGGAGTCCTGGCCCTGTTCTTAACTGGTATTTACTTGAACTGGAGGCTGTAGGTCGGGTCATGGCACTGGGAGGAGGTTAGGTGACTTCTTAGGGCTGAGAGAGGAAGGAACAGAGGATAGAGGTGGGACTCTGGCTGTGCCTCTGTGTCCCAGCCCTCCCCTCACTCTGCGCAGTCTTTGCCTCTGGGGTGCTCAGTCAGGCTGAGCTGAGTTGGGGTTCTAGGTGCTGCAGCCTTGGTTCCCCTTTCGGCCTCTGCTTTGGGCCTTGGCATCGTCCAAGGAGATGTCGTAAGTCAGGCTGATGTAGGAGCTAAGGGCCTCCCGGAGTCCCTCACTGAGGGGGGACTCCTCCCCTGTGGCAGATGCTTCAGAGAACAGGAGAGAGCTGTGGAGAGGGGGAAAGAGGTGCATC